TGCGTAAGTCCGTAAGCAAGTATGATTGAGATAATGAGATATGAGCCTGTAAGCATGTAGGTCAAGTTACGAAACAACTTGTCCTAACCTTTCAGTCTAGGGTCTCTTCTTCATGTACTTTTATATGAAATGAAAGTCCCCCCAACAATGTTATCTTAGGATATTCATCGAAACCCAGTTTCACTCCTGTCTGGTTAAGAATATCATTTGGGAAGTAAGTTATTGTTCAATTCAATGGAAACTTAAGGCCTACTTATAGCATTATGGAAAAATTCAACTATCAGTCTTTCATCACCTTACATGAATTATGGTAACTCTATCCCACAAGGTCTAAGTTGTGATATTGGTGTAAGGTTAAAATAGTTTGAGTTATTCTAGAAATGCTCCTTCTCCACCTGCTTCCCCTTAGTAACTTATACAAAAACCGAGGCTTTTATCCTATAATGTTGCCTGGTTGGTTTAAGTTGCCCGAAAGACAAACACACTATTTACTAGAAATATAATTTGTAACCAAACAACCGCATAATTGGATACGCGTATATTGGTGTGCATTACTACTACCTATCGTGTAATTTTGATGGTTTGCATAAAAGCGTACCAAACAAACCAATTCAGTTCAACTTCAAAACCCCGACCCAAGAAAGTCCCAAAACCTCGGTTTTTGTATAATCTATTTGGGTTTAGGGTGAGATCATCTCATGAAATTAGCATGAGATCATAATTGGTTTAAGTTGCCCTAAATACAAACACACTATTTACTAGAATATAATTAGTAAGCAAACAACCGCATAATTGGATACACGTAAATTGGTGTGTAATAGCAATTCAGTTCAATTTAAATCCCCAACCCAAGAAAGTCCAAAAACTTCGGTTTTTGTATAATCTATTTGGCTTTAGGGTGAGATGATTTAATGACATTAACATGAGATCATAATTGGTTGAAGTTGCCCTGATGGCCTCGTAGACCTACTTACAACAAAAAATTTGGAGGTCCGTGTCTCAGCAACATCTAAAGCCTCGTTACAATGTCTAACCGGAAGTAATGTATCGTTGATTCCTAATTTGCTTAACCCAGCTTCGTTCCCAAGACCGAATTAAGTGACCTGTATGAAAAGTTACAGTCTACAGGACTGTCGATTTTGATTTCTGCTGAGAGAGTTTTCCGTTAAATTGCACTTATTCAGAGTTAACTTACGCTTTTTTTTCTCCAGCGATTGATTCTGCTCGGCGCTGGAGGCAGATGAAGCTTTAAATTGACCGGAGCCGACTGAACCGCCCAGTCCCTTCCGACCATCTGAGGAGAATCTTTCCCGGCATTATCTTCTCCTGTGCAATCGCGTTGGAGACCAGTTTGATCCTGGCAAACGGTTGCCGAGGTGCTAGGCCATGCCGACTCCATCCGAGCCCACACGTCGGAGCCACTGTCGCACAGACGTCCATTCGGAGAAGAGGGACTGGCGACCGAAGCGGCTTCAGCCGCCTGATTTGGTACCGGCCAGACTGGTAGACTGGGGGATAGGAAGACCTCGTGCAATCCCTGACACATCGCCGTGAACGGGGCACACTTGAAATTCGTGTACTGCGCCTGTAAGCGGTTATCGGGTGTCTGTGAGATGCCCAGACGACTAAGGGGCCCTGACAACATGTGCGACATTTGAAGGGAGGCTGAGGCTGACGACCAAGCCGAGAAGGAGGAGATTGGAGCTGGCAATTGCGCTGTTGTCACCGGGGACGAGGGTCTGGTGGAGGGCAGAAAGATCGACGCGGTTGGCTGGGCGAGATGGGTCAACAATGCTTGCGGCGACAGGAAAGGTTGTTCCGGCGGCCTCGTTGGCGCCGTCTCGAATGGCACGCTGGGCTTGTGCAGGTCGAGGGGAAATGTGGCAAGAGTGGCTAGAGGCGAAGAGTCTGGAAGAAGAGGAAGAGGAAGAGGAAGAGGAAGAGGAAGAGGAAGAGGAAGAGGAAGAGGAGGAGGAGGAGGAAGAGGAGGAGCGGTGGGTACATAATGTGCGACCGAAGAGGAGGGAGGATGCCTAGACGGTAGAAGATTGAGTGCCTCCCAGTTGGCACCGCGCAAGACAGACTGTCCGCCGGAGCTGCGGCGCTGGGCGCTCGTAGACCCAGCAAACGAGGCGTCAGTGCGCCAGTGGGATCCGTTGAGTGGAGAAGAGGGCGCGATATGGTGACGCTTCAACAGATGAGTGCGCAGAAAGTACTTGTTGCAGACAGTCTTCTTGCAGATGCTACAAGTGACTCGACTCAACGAAGAGCGGACTATGTTATCGTGTGCAGTACATACATGCCGGTTTGCGTAGAGCATGTATTTGTGCTCGAGTAGGCTTGCACGTGTGCGCATGAGTGAAGTTGATGGTTAGGAGGTGGGCAGCAGGTGAGTTGGATGCATATGAATGAAGGGAGAGAAGGATCGGCGGCTTGTCAGAATAGGAATGGACTCCGAGACTATCCCCGCCTCAGTAACAGAACGCTGTAAAAAAGTCAGGCGATGTGTGAATCATATGCTCCTAAGACTTTCTATTCCATAGAAAGCTAATTTATTTCTT